ATTATATATATTTATTAATTATTTGCAAAAAAATTTCCAGATTCAAATATTTCTGCGCAACTTCTTTGCAATAATTCGTACTTACTCGTAACCCAAAGAAAAATTAAGATTTTAAGATTTAACTCCGAATAAGAAGAAAATTCGAAAACACGACAATTGATAATTTTTTAATTATTATTATACATTAAATTTAATTATTATATATATTTATTATTTATTTTCAGAACAATATCTGTCAATAATTAGCTGCGTTCCAACAATTTAAATTGCAATTCGTATTTATCCATTAATCGCAAAAAGATTCCCAGATTAGAATATTTCTGCGCAACTCCTTTCCAATAATTCGTACTTATTCGTAACTCAAAAAAAAATTAAGATTTCAAGATTTAATTCCGAGTAAGAAGAAAATTCTGAAACTCGAGGATTGGTAATTTTTAAATTATTATATATAATATTTATTAATTATTCGCAGATAAATCCCTATCAATAATTATCTCCGTTTCAACAATTAAAATTGCAATTCGTATTTATCCATTACTCGCAAAAAGGTTCCCGGATTCGAATATTTCCGCGCACCTCCTTTTCAATAATTCGTACTTTCTAGCAACCCGGAGGAAAATTTGAAAATTCTCGCATCGTTGCCAATTTTTTTGCCAGCCCCGTTGTAATAATTCGGACCACGTTACACAATAGCAATCGCACACCTTGTTACCGTGCTCTGGGCAATACGATATTCGAACAATGATATTTTTCGAGAGCTTTGAGTATTAAACGATTCAATTAAACTGAATGGATGTAAATTTCTCGCGCACGCGCACGTTCTCGCCGTTTATAGAGAATGGAAATACTTGCACACCAGTAAATCTCCGGCGTATTTCTATTCTCGTATCACGCGAGAGTTATTAAGGTCTGTACACCGCGTTGCATTTAGCCGACACCCCATAAAACTGTAAACACGTTGTCGACATTGGTTTTATCGCATGCTCATCGCTACGTGGTCGGTTTGGTCGGATTCATACCATGTCGCTCGTGAACTTCGCCATTGTTCCAAAACATCCCCCGAAAATGTTTGCAAACCGTTTTATTCCATCAACTTTCCGACTTTCGTTCGATCAACTTACACGCGAACCCCGACCAGGCAAACAAATTACAGGTATAATTTACACGAAGCCGGTAAAACGTACCAGCTTCGTTACTATCCACATTCGCCAATTCTGTCGTCATTTAGCACCGTTCTTATTTTTCCTCCACTTCGTCGCGGTTAAGATTGATAAACGCCACGTGGTACCCCGAAATTGAACGGAAATTAATAAAAATTTGGGAAATGATAAAAATAACAGTGAAGGGGGGAAATAATTATTTAAATTATTTTTGACGAGTTTGTTTTGGAAAGAGCGATCAGAGAGGCTCCCTCGTTGAAGCGTAACGATGCATCACGAAGCACGAGAGACTCTGCGATATTACGCGAACAAAAGCGTTTATGACTGGCTGGAAAGTACGGACATCTAAGTCAGGATGTTGCGCCAAGTTACGTGCAATTAAACGGAACTCGTAAGGCAATGCGTATATATCGTACCTAGTCGAAGCTTGGTCAAAGAATTTATCCCTTCAGGAAACTGCTCCCGCGATATTGCCATCTCTGTATTATTAGACGAGCTTTGTGCTAAATCCGTGTGGGTGTTGCAGAAAACAGAACAAAAGTGCCGACACGCTCAATGGGTCACTACAGAGTATTACAGACGCAGAGCACTTCAGCTCGAGTTTCCAACCGTTAATTATGTTCCGCGAAGGGTTGAAGGCTGTTATAATATCGAATCCGGATCGTCTAAATAGTTTTCGAGAATTATTATTTTCCGGATAACTGGTATCGGGAATCGAAACGAACGAAAACGTAGGTTTCGGTTAGGAACCTGGTAGATTTTCGTATCGGTTTGTACTGTTCCAATTCTGTGCGGTATGTAAAATAAATAACAGTTTTTAATTAATTATTTCAAGGGAAAATATTGCGCATGGCTATTCGTAACCGATAACCGTTAATTAATTTCACATCCTTTATCATACGTGTATTTTCAACCTCAAAGATATTCATATTAAAATTACATTTTTAACAAATATTTCTCTAACATTTTATTGAATTTTCATTAAAAAACGTATCGGAGAATTAAGTTATGAAAATGGAGATATAAATAAAATAGTTGCAATTTATTAAAAAATGTACAAATTATTAAATTCACTGTCAGTGACAATTATCGAAAACTCGAATTTTTAATGCAGGCAAAATAATTACAAAAGTGTTGAATTTATTGTATAAAAAGACGATCAGTTGAAATAAATAAATAAATAAATAAATATATATTCGACAGATGAATTTCTATTTCCTATAATTATTTTGAAAAGAATGTTCGTGTAATGGTTAATTATAGTTATTTGTGGAACAGTTTCGACCTGAATGTTCCATAATTGGAATTTGCAAATAAAATGTATAAATTATTAAAATCACTGTAGGTGACAATTATGCAAAAATCGAATTTTTAATGGAGGCAAAATAATTAGGAAATTATTGAATTTACAACATAAAAAGACGGTGAGTTGAAATAAATAAATAAATAAATATATTCGATAGGTGGAAAGAATATTCGCGTAATGGTTAATCGCAGTAATTTCTGGAACAGTTTCGGCCCGTATGTTCGAGAGATAACGGCAAGCACTCGGCCGAAATGCTTATTAACGAATTCTTTACGATGGGCAATAAATTTCCGCTTGTCAGAAATCGCGTTTCAACCATCGCTAACGTGCTGAACGGGGACAGAGTGACGATAGAAGTTAGAACGTTCAACAGACGTCCGCATTGTCTCCGAGTCTCCATCAATCGTCTAATACTCCAACTCGATTAATTCTCATTAAATTCTCCAACTACGACTTGCTCCCTCCCCACCTCTGCCTTACCGACAAATCAGATTAATTCCAACCGCGACGTGTTCCACAGCAACTATTGTACTTCCGGCTACTCGTTAGCCCACATTCAGACCGGTCTAAGGGCGCAATTAAACGCTGAAGTAGAATTTTAACATAGCGTCTGTTAACCGAGTCCCACCAAGCTGGACCCTGCAAATTACCCCTCTCCTTCGGATGGTATCGGAAAATTGAGTTAAAACACTGTCTCGTATCCTTTAACACCGTGTTCCGAATACAGCGACACGAAGACAGAGAGACAGATACACGGATAGATAGACGGATAGGTGGAGACAGAAGGAGAGAGAGCGAGAGGGAGAGAGAGAAAGAGGGAGAGCATTTTGAGCGCGGTCGGGAGGCCAATGGCCGCCCGTCGACATCGGCGTGGCAGCCACCGCCACTGCACCGCAGCCAAGAAATTTCCATAGATCCTTAACGCGTCGCTGGAGTGTACGCAAAGCGGCAGACTTTGCGGCAACGTCGCGTCGTGCATCAGCCACAGGTGCCTTCTCACCGACGTCTCACCGACACGAGGCGTTTATGGCTGTTGTAAAAGCGTCATCTCCCCTGCACGGTTCGGTAACGTATCGGCGTCCTTCGGTACGTGCACCCCTTTGTAGCGCACTCCTGTCGCCGGTTCACACCCGTCCTACTCCCCCCTTTGGAGCACACCCTTCCACGGATGAAACGGGGATGTCGCGA